TGAAGTGGCGAGTGCGAAGTGGCGAGAAATAGCAGCGCAAGATGATGTTGCGACATCATGACCTCGTGGCTGAGATGTTTGGCTACGTCGTCCGTTCGGTGATCGACGCATCTCGGTGGACCCGGCGCATTACGCACACATATATGTACATATACATAACGTAGGCGCGCGTATTATCCACGTTTATCCGCGTGTAGTGTATGAGCCCATACGTGTCGCACCCACACGCGCATCGTCAGGTAGTACCGGGCGACGCTGCGGCGCCCGTTTGCTCTCGTTGCCAGACTCTTTGGCGGCTTGGCGTCCCACAGGCTACGCGCTGCCATCTCCCTCCACCCCTCTCGTCACCTATCCCACCGTCGCACCCTCTCTACACGTCATCTTCCTCTTCCTTCAAGTAGTGTCTTCGATCTTTCTTTCTCTCCCCCCCCCCCTCTCTCTCTCTCTCTCTCGCCATTCCACCCTTCGTCTCCTCCGCCTCAAGCCGTTACCAACGACGTCATCTTCGCCGATGTCCGAGAGTGGCATTGAAGAAGTCACGTCTTTCTTTTTTCAGACTCCTCGCCTCTTTGACTCCCCGCATTGAAATCCTTCTAGACGAAGAGGTTATAGCCGTTATTATCGATGCTAACTGCATTATGTATTATAGAGACCGATGTCGCTCGATATAAAAAATATTCCGAGTCGTGGTTGCGAAATTTTAAACAGTTAAGCAATATTTTCATTTTTAACGTCATACAATCTAATTCTGTCAATTAAATAAACAAATAACGTCCCCCATTCATCGTAATGGATCGCATCCATTTTAAATAGAATTAAGCAGGATGGCCAGATTTGTGACGAGCGTCAAAGGGCGAGATCAGCGGGAAAGGTTCGGCCGTATAATTAATTGAATTTATTCGCGCAATACCCAAAATTAATTAAATTCGCTACCGTGTAACATAAATTATTTTCGGAAAACCAGCCGCCGCGAATGCTGCGTGAAAGACGCCCGCTTTTCAATCAATCCCCGCCGTAGAATCGAATTACCGGAGTTGGCGAGCGCGCTCAATCGAGGGAGCCAAGCGGTTTCACTTCCCGCATCGGATCGAATCGTGCGGAATCCTCGACGGCTTCCTCGACGGATCGAATCTCATTTAGATTTCCACGGTGAGATACTATACTCGTACGCCGCCCGAACCGAGAGAGAGAGAGCGCGGGAGAGGCAGCTCTTCCGGTGGAAGCCGTGGCACGCGAACGGCGTGTATGTATATTTGTAAGCACGTGTGCTCGTCCGTGCATATACGAGCGGTGACCGCGCAGGAACTCGCGTCGGCTCGAGTAAACCTGGATTTCAGGAGATTTAACGGCCGCGTCTGCCGGGAATACGTTATCGGCGGTCCCGCGCTTTCGCGATGCGAGAGCTGCCGCAGTCCAGGAAGCACGGGCTTGCCGTAAAATCGCATCTACGGGATACATGCGGGATTCCGCCGCGTACCTCGCGCGTGACGTTTACATGGAACCCACCCGGACGGAATACAAAGAGAATAAGATACGCGTGAAGGGAACAATTGAAGAGCCTAGATAGTAGGAGGTCGCGCAACATTTTGCTGAAAACTTCATTTTCCGTCGCGAGAATGTTACATATGTATGCCGCAGCCGGCAAGCTCCAGGCATCGCATTAACCATAGGCTTATATACATACATAGAGCTGTTACGCTGTTTTTCTACTCTGAAATATTTTATAATTTTTTTCGACAAACAACCCTCATAGAAATTTAATATTAGTACCTACTGGCTAATTAATTACTTATTTTTAGTATTAAAAGTACTGTTAATATTTACTCAAAGTAAGTGATTAATTAGCTAGTACTAGCATTAAATTTGATGCCTATCTTCATTATCCATCTGACTACATATTGTATAATCTACTCTAATAAAATATCCTAATAAACCCTGATCCTGCTATTTGCTTAAATCCTTACTTCATGACTCATACACCTATTTTTATCTAAGACACTCCCAAATTGCCGATCCACAATCAATTAGACATGTTACACAATAGGGCCGTAAGCCGTAAGAAATTAACCAGTCATAGTCAATTATTTTTCTCATATTCAATTATGATTGGCCAATTTCTTACGGCTTACGGCTTGCAAACCTATTGTGTAACAGGCTTTACTAGTCCTACATAAAAAGAACAATTTTACTAAAGTATGTAAAAATTTAACTAGATACTGATCTGGAAATAATTTTATGTGAGTGTCGAAATTATCATATAGGTCTGTCAAATATAATAAGCAATGCTGTAAAAAGTTTTGACATTTTAGCAACCAATTTGAGCGTCCTATATAATTCTGATGGATCTAATAAAATTATTTCCAAATCTCAGCTCTAAATTATCTAACTCAATTTTTAGATACTTTAATAAAATCCTTCATTCCGTATTTAAGTAAATCTTTGCATCCTGTATCGATCTTCACGTTCTTCTCTTCTTTTTAAGAATCCCCATTAAATCGATATTTTTTAGTACTAGAACGCATCATGTCATTGGCCATTTTTTTTTAACTAAAATTCCTCTTCCAATCGAACAAAACAAGATCTCTCTCGATTTGGAGTATTATTCTCAGCCGTCTCTTGCAGCGAACACACCTTTACCTTGCACTTGTTTAAAATAAAGTTAGCACAAGGACAGTTGCTACAGTCTTTTAAAATACATTATATCTTGTACAGCGCTTCCATTGGAGATAGGACAACATTGATAGATGGAAAAAATAATTTTGTAAAGTATCTAAAAATTTAACTACATACAGATTTATTTTATCGAACGCTCAATCTGGTTGCAAGAATATAAAAACTTTTTATAGCATTGCTCATCATGTTCAAGCTACATAATTATTTTAATGGTCCAATTATTTTTAAATCTCTGTATTTAAGTAATTTAATTTAGTATAATTTTTTTACTTCAAAACCATTCTTTCTTTTACTTCAAAACCATTCTTTCCGTGTAAAAGAAAATAATAATAATTGATCAGATGCTTTCCTTGTTCAACGTATGTTGCAGAGAGTATCTGATTAACTATTGCTCTCTCTTACTAATGTTATCCTCACATCTTTAATGAAAGCAGTTTATTATAGTCTATGGAATTAACAAATCGTGCTTCGTACGTGGCATTTCAGACATCCCTTCATTGCAATATACGGAATCTCATTTAGACATTCTGCTTACGCTCGACGTTCGCTGTTCGATTATCCTCCGAATCAGCTTCTGCGCGATCGATTATACATATATTATCGCCAGGGCGAGTCCGAAACTCGTTTTCTCTCTCGCTTCAATGATACTCTCATTTCACGGTCGAGTAGCAGCATCTCCAGCGGCTGTGGACAATGGTTGATAAAGGCGCTCGTCTCGTCTCTCGGATCTCCGATAACGGTCTGATTCCTCTCCGTTTCGTGACGGTTAATTAAGCGGCGGATAGCGCGCGTTTCGATTAGGCGATCGAATAGCACGTTATCGATCGCGAGATGGTATAATTCAGCGCGTGAACGATCAACCTCGTTCAAACTAGGGTTCTAGGGATGCGATCCACTTAACCCTGCAAATGCTTCGTTTGATCAATTAGAAGACAAAATTTTATGAATTGACCAATCAAAGAATGCTTCCAACTATTTGCAGGGTTAAGTGGACCGCACCCTAAATTTACAAGAGTAGCACATCCTTTTTATCTAAGAATGCCTCGTCTTTTTATTAGTTGCTTTCTCTTTTCTGATCGCCATTTTGTACTAATAATTGGTTTATCGTTTAATAAACATTCAGTAATTCTTTAATATAATTCATTATTAAAAAAATTTTAAGTCAATAAAAAGATAGACAGTCATTTGAACTATTCTCGTTAGTGACTACGTTCAGCAGAAAAAACAACATTGAAGTATTTATTTAAGTATAAGCCACATTTCAGTTATAACAAGTCAACATTGTGTACACTGAAAGAATAATTTCGCAAAAGGATCCAAAGATTCGGCTATACAGATTTGTTAGAAAACAATTTTGTTGGATCATCAAAATAATTTTGCAAGAATTTTCAGCATGATGAACAAAATGTTTTGATATTCTAATAATCAATTTTGTCGTTCTAGCTGTTTTGATGGTCCAGCAAAATTATTTTTCAGATCTGTATCCAGCTAAATTTTTAGATTCTTCAACAAAACTGCTCTTTCAGGGCTACTAAGTCTATATTCTTTTTAGCTAAAGTTCTTGTACGGTTTATCTTTCTTCCTTTTCTTTCCATGTTGGAGAGGAAAACAAACAAGATAAATCATGCAAGAAGTTCAGCTAAAAGAACAAGCCTACTGTGTCACAAGAGTGTATGACTGTGTTCTGTTACTGGAAAGCACCCAATATCTCGAGCCTAAGTGGGAATCACTCTAGTCGAAATGAGGTGTCGCGTGTGAGTCCCACGTAGGGTGGGAAGAAGAAGCGGGCCGCGCCGGTGTGAGGGCATCTTAAGGCAAGGCCACCCGGCTTGGTTGATTAATAAGGGTGCGAGAGAGCTACCTTCGCGTTCCATTCTCCCGCGCTCTCCTCACCATGCCTGCTTCTTTCGCGCCACGATCGTTCCCACGAAAGCGCATTCCGCGTGGCGGCTTGGATTTTGAGCGACGGCAGGATTCGATTAGCGAATCGCGTGCGTTTGTTAACCCTTCGCGCGTCCATTTATTCCCGACCGGCATTCATTCGACCGGAGAGGAGCGGCCGAATGAGCGTTGTACCATTTTTCTTTTGTTGCGGCAACAGCCCTGTCCGATACGATAACGCGTTTAGAGTGAACTTATATTTACCCAATGTTATTATATGTACGTGACGTTAAAGAAATGGAATGTTGTTGATGATTTAACGAGACTCCGTGTCAATAAATCTTGCATCTTGCAATTTTTTTTTATGTCGAGAGAAAAACATCGACAACCTTGATTTTATGAAAAAATTATGGCAAAAAACGAGTTGTTGGAACCAATGTACTCACTCTCCGACACGTTCGCCGTTCCAGCAGTGTTTGTCGGGATATTCCTCGCAGATCGCGTCCGCTAATGTGCCGTAGAAGATGCGGGACCTGAGGACGCTCGCCAGGAAGTTAACCAACTGCTTGTGCAACTTGTTCAGCACGCTGTCTTGTGCGTGAGACGGTAACGACGATGCAGCTGTATGCACCTCGCCAGTGGACGACGTGGACGATTTCGCAGCTGCATCCGAAGACACTGGGCTTTTCTCGCTATCGGGCGATAGCAACTCCGAACGACCACACACCTTTCTCACCTGAAAATAGCCAAAAGCATCGATCCTGCTGATCATTAATGTATAACGAGATAAATAAATTCTGAAGATAAGAAACTGACTACATGGAAAGAGCGATAGATTTTGTTCGTGCAGTTAAAAATTTAACTAGATACAGATCTAAAAATAAATTTGTTGAACTAGCAAAATAATTATGTAGGATGTTCAAGCTGCTTCTTAAAATATCAAACCATTTTACAGCACTATTCATCACGCTTAAATTTCCTTATACGTTCTTTTGTCGATAATCTAACAAAATTCTTTTCAAATCTGCATTTAGCTAAATTTTTAAATACTTCAACAGGATCGTTTTTTCCATGTTTGCAAATAAATCAGATACCAATAGCGTTTCTAAATTATAAATAATAAATAGGAAATGAGGAATTTCCAATTATCGAAAATATGATTTGTATGAAAAGGAAACGAATGTAATGTTAATGGCATAACAGATGAATCTTCTTTTTTTTTAATCAGGAGAAAAATAGACTGGAACAAATCAAAGAGGTCGTACAACGAGAGACAATTCTGTGACACCCTGTATATCAATGCCGCTGCACCTGGCTGCAAGTGGTACGGTAAATACGACACACGCATAAAGATCAGCACCGTAAGAGCTTTTGCCAGCTACGGCGCGTCCGTTGGCAAGTGTCGCCTGCGAAACGACTTGTTCCCGTTCCGAACGACGCGTCAATTTCTCGACGATTTAATAGGCGACGCGCCCTGACAGTTTTTACACTTGGCCGAGTCACGCCACGTTTCGGCGCGTTCACGCGTTAATCAAGGCGTACACGCGCGTACACACGCATACGCATGCAGTATCTTGTCGCCAAAGTGTATTCTTCTCCGTTTCAAAACCGCCGGTGGTCGGGACTCTTTCCGGAGGTCACAATTTTTTAAAGCACAACGAAACACGTGAAACATTATGACAGCTGATGATGATATTTTTACGGCGTTCTCAGAGATTTTGCAAGACTTCTTGGAAAATAGTATAACATGGGTCTTTTTATAGCGTAATGTCTGTCGGAGATGTCCAAAGCCCCGAAACGTGGCGTTGCCAAAAGCGCAACTTTTCTCGTCTTCTTCTGCACGCCAGCCACGTGTACGTGTATTACGTGTCCCGAGGTAATCTAAGGTGCATTCACAACGATCACGTACAGGAACTCGCGATATTTCAACCGGCTTAAGTTGTAAATTGCTATTTATGGATCACGTAAAGGTCCACAAACGCAATCATGCAATGGCGAAATTATTGAATCGTATACTCCACGGCGAACAAGGAAACAATTTTTACCGATTTCATTTCGCCAAGAAGACAGAGTTTATAACAGGTCGATTCGCGTATCCTAAAGTTTTATAACATTTCTACGCGTCATCGTACAGCTCGATCACAAGGATGAAAGCGTTTTCGCTCGAAGCGAAAGTTTTCTGCTACTATAAAAAGAAGAAAAATATTATCTCTCAAATCGAAAACGGTTCTGCCTTTGTTTCAAATGCCCATTCGTCGATTGCGATTTTATGGAAAATGATTTTGTGTAAAAAAAAAAACACGCCTCTCCGCTCCATTTTTCCATTACTTCATTTTTGTTTGTCAATTCATTTGAAATAAGATTTTTTTATTTTTCGAAATTTTATGTCACATGAAATTCGTCGCTATCCTTTATAGGCATTGATGAAAATGTCTTCTCTGAAAGTCAACTCGCAATAAGAAATATGTTGGTCATAATTTTAATTATCTTCATAAATGTGTTTTATATGCGGACAGCCAATGGATTTCGAGAATTTAAAAAATTTTTTTCTGGTATAAAAATATTTTTTATCGCCTCGTTCCTAGTTACATCGTCACTAATCTCATATATCAAACATATAATTTCGTTTCGTTTTTATCGCCTTCGATTACCCATAATTATTAATCTCGTCAATCAACATAATAAACTCGTAAATTCCTTTTAATAGATTTACGCCGCCTTTTCTACTGTTAATATCATTATTAATCTCATCCACACTGAAAAAAACAAAATTTGTTCAACGAACTAAACACATTTAGTTGTTTGCAGATTTGGTTAATTCAAATTTCATTTAATTGAATGTAATCGTAGTCTGCTTAACAAACTGTTCAATGTTAAGCAGACTACGATTACACGATTTAATTCAATTAAATAAAATTTGTTGAATTGACCAAATCTATAAACAGCTAAATGTGTTAATTGAATGAATTTTTTCAATGCATCAATACAGCAGTTATCCATTGCTCGACTTAATCATACTGAAGTTTTTTAAGTTCTTACGAAACCAAAATATGACGCTTTGAATAAAAATTTCGGAAAATGACAAATTCTGATTTTGAAACTTGGTAAACATATTTTTACATAATAAAATTATCTTTATTTATCCACATCGATAATACTTTTTAAAACTAATTACTTTCATATTTTTATATTTTTCATATTTTCATATTTTTATATTTTTTATATTAAAATTCATATTTTTTCAAATTATTTTTAAAAAATATTATTGAATAAATAACAATTGAATATTATTGAAAAATTGGTACAAAACCTTTTCTTGATATCTTAGTTTTTGAGATATAACAAAAAAAACTGCTTTATTTATAAAGAATAATTGAAAATTCATTCCTTAAAACTGTTTTTCACTCCAATTGATATTTTCTACATACATTTATGTGCATATATACAATACATATAAAATTTCATTAAAATCAAAATTTAATACTTCAGGAGGTTCCTTTGTTTATATCACACTGAAGTTCCGTAAGTTTTCTCACCACAATAAGCAAGGCTTCAAGTAAGAACTTCGCTAAGTACTTCACATGAAGTATTACATTCTCATCGTGGTAATAGTTACCCAGGGAGATTGTTTTTGTGATTTTTATCAGGTCGTACGATAGGCAATGAACCCGTTTTATCGTCACTGAGATCAAAACACACGAATCAAGAGCATTTATCATCTTATCGGTCGCGCCGCCGTTTAAACAATAATCATTAAAATTATCGTTGACATCTCTCCCGCGAGACTCCCGCGCTGCTTTTCTGTCCTAATTACTTTTAACGCGGCCCATAAAAGGAGCCCGGGCCCCGGCAATGTGGTGGTTGCTCTTCGGGCTCTTCGAGGCGGCATAATCGTAAAACCGGCTGGCCGAGCGTAATTAAGACGGCACGCGTGGGCGTTCAAACGTCGCTCGCTCTCTCGTCTCTCGTCTTCTCGATTTCTCATTTTTTTTTCTCTTCTCCTCTATCCTTTTTTCTTTTTCCAAGAGACGCGACTCCTCCATCCTTCCTTCTCTCGATCCTTTCTCTACTCGAGCGAAGTGGACGAAACACGGGGCGAGTTTGGAATGCCGTGCATCTACCGTGAGAAGACTTCCAAACGAGTAGAATGATAATATTGTCCTACTGTGATTTTGCAAATATGCGATCTTGCGATATTAGATCTTTGCTTCGTAAAAGAACTAACAGTATTATTGACAGTGTGGATTATATCAATTATATTGATTTATGCAATCAAACTAAGTAGTGGCTTTTTGTAAGAAATAAAGACTTCTTACAATGAGAAATCTTTATTTCTTATTAATTCTAGAAAAAAGAAGATAACCGGCAGTAATTCTAAGGTATAGTTATGCAGATAAGATTGGCATTTAAACGGTATCTGCGATATAACTGATTTAAATCATTTAACTTGATGGTTTAATGACTTCTCTTTCATTACTTCCCGTCGGAGGAAGAGGAACAGATAAAGATGTTACATCTTTTCTAGTAAAGTTGAATTGCTTAAAGACCAATTATATTAAATGGTAGAAAAAAATGTTTTTAAAAAGTAGAATATATAGTAAAAAAATATAAATATAAAAAAATATATTAACTTTTATAGGACGAGAAACCACTATAATAGTGTTGAAACAATATTATATTTTGAAGAAAAGAATACAACGAAATAATCAGAGTTGGGAAAGTAACTTCACAAAAATTACTCGCGATTACGTTACTGTTACTCGCTACTGATTTTAAAAAGTAACGAATAATTATCATTTCTGTTACTTTTTCATCAAATTTTGATGATTTTTTTTAGAGTGTTGATCACTCACGTGAATCAATTTAACTAAAAAAATGTTTGGTTGAATTAACTGGAATTTTGATGAAAAATGAATGATCCAGAATTTTTATTAAATTTATTAGATTTTTGATCAAATTTACTAAATGTTGGTTATTTCAACTAGGATTTTAATAGATTTAAATCTGAATCATCAGTGGATAATCATTGATATCAAGTATACCACTGGTAATCAGTGAATGAAATGTGAGATCTTACCTAATCTAATCTTTATTATGTGATCTAACTAACTTTGTTTTAGTGCATATATTCAGTAAATGTAGTATTAGAAGATTGAAATTAACATTCAAATATATATTAGTATTTTAATTATATAATATTCAAACATCCTTCCTTTTGTAGTTGAACTTTACTGATAATCAGTGCCAAGTAGACCACTGGGTAATTAGTAACTATCCACTGATTCAGATTTAGAGAGCAGAAATCTTGTAAATTTAACTAGAATTCTGGATCGTTCATTTTCCACCAGAATTCTAATTAATGCAACCAAACTTTTTTTTCTGTGCTGAACCCGTTTAACATGAGATATAGTGATTATATATGATTAATTGGATCAAATATAACTCTTCTTTTGAAAGTCGATTATTATTATTATTATTATTATGGGACATACATCACATATAAATTGTATACAAACGATAAAAGTAACTATTATATTCATTATCATTAACGTTACAAATAAGAAAACGTAACATTGTTATCCAGTCATTACTGAAAAAAAGTAACAAGTAACATGTTGCTTTCCAATTCTGGAAATAACGAATTATAAATCTTAAGGAAAATCTATAAAATTTTTAAATAAATTCCTTTAATGATTAAGATCAAACAAAACAATCATTTAATATAATTTTATATAA